GAGCGAGACATGCATCTGGCTGTTGTCAGGTTAGTTCAGCATGGGGGTGAGTAGAAAATGAAGGCTAATCATGTTTTGGGTGTACTATTCCTTTAATATATTTGAATCCTTGCCCTGTTTTTTATTTCATGCTTTTCTGTGTCCCCATGAAAACAGGCTGGCCCCCTGGTACATTTGGTCTAGAACCGTCACTGAATCCACACCAAGCTGAGCAGATATGAGCGAATGATGAGACTGGGGAGGATTCTTACACGCTCTGGGAGAACACCGGCGCCTCATCGTTGGTGTTGGCCACACGGACGCGGACAGAGGCCGTCCCAGTTCGAGGAGGCGTCCCCGCATCCACCGCCACCACTACAAACTCATAGATGTGATTGGGCCGCTCGTAGTCCAGGCGACGGGCGGGGCTGACCACGCCCCCGGAAGTGATGTCAAAATCGGCACTCGGAATGAAGTAGGAGAGCTCCGAGTTCACGCCGGAATCACAGTCACGAGCGAGAACTGAGGGGAAAAGGCGGGAGAAATTATTCTAAAAAATGTCAAGGACAAAAAAGACACGGTTGGACAAAGAGAAAAGAATGAGACAAGGACATGGCAGAGAAGAAGGTAAAAACTAAAACCAAAAAAAGGAAGGCATAAACTGAAAATGTGAAATGAAAAAAGGTACAAATGAATTAAAGAGGAATGAATAAGAAAATATGGTGGAAAAAAGGATGGTGGAATAAAGAAGAAAGTAACAAATAGAAAACAGTTTGAAAGAGAAGCTTTTGGACCTGGGATTTGGAAATAATGAAAAAAAAATTAATAAAACACAAACCTAAAATCAGAGATAGATGCTGAGGTTCTACAAAGATTTTAAACTTTAAAATGATTTTAAAACATTGGAGGGCAGAGAGTGAAGAAGCATAAAGAGCAGAAGAACAGAAACTACAAATATGGATTAATAAAAGGAAAGCATCAACAGGATAGCGGAAAGGAACGGGTCTCTTGCAGCAATCTCCTCTGGTTCGTTGTTGTTACCTTGCAGCAGTGAGGTTCCAGCTGCGACGCTCTCAGGGATGTTATCTCTGGTGTAGATGGAGTGAAGAAACTCTGGGGTGCAATCGTTTTCATCCGTGATGTGGACAACAACCTGGAGAAAACAGCTCACTTAGATTTTTCTACAACGAATTCATGCAATGCTTTTTTTTTTTTTTTTAGATTTAGATTAACTTTATTGTCCCAAAGGAAATTTGATTTGGGTAGAGACTCTGGCTGCTACATAATCCAAACTATGTGTCACACTTAGGGTTGTCAAAAGTATCGATACTTTTTTGAGTATCGATTACTTTTCAGGGATACAAAAATGAATAGGATCCTTATTGGTCCTCATAAACAGACTCAGATTCACTCTGATTATAAGCATCAGTGGTCAATCTATAACTCGACATACCAAGGACATATTTCACCAAACAATCCTGCTATATCAATATGTTAAAGTTTGATTTAATTTTATATTTAACTACATTAAGCATAAAGCATCAAATAATGAAGGTAAACCCAGGCGGATGCAGTTCAACAGCTAATTTTGTCAGGGTTGGTGGATGGATGTTGTTGTGGACCCAAAAGCAGTAGTAGAAGAGGCAGAGATAATTTTTGCAGTTTTAATGGTGATCAGAAATAAATCATAAATCCTGAAATAACAGGCTGAGAACTCACAATCAGGAGAAACATGCAAGAAGAAATTAAGAGAATCCAGGACTGAGGAACTGCAGACGAGGAGTTTATATGGGAGACAGAACAAAGAGTGGATTAATCAGTTAATTGGGAGCAGGTGTGGACAGAAGCAGCTAGAAAGGAGCCAAGGGGAAAGGAAAGGGCCACTAGGGGGCAACAAAGAGTAACCAGGGAAAACAGCGTTTACCAGTAACTATTAGGGATGTCAAAAGTATCGATTATTTAAAAAAGTATCGATAATGAAACGTTGTATCCGGATACAATACTCATTTTCAAAAGTATCAATACAGTGCCACCACCAGTGGCACCTAAACAGTCATTCATCTAAAGAGCAGAATAGAGGAAAATGCACTTTCTGAAAACTTTGGGATTGAAAAATTCTGTGCACTTTTCACTTTTTGTTTCTTAACCGGTTTGGCTAGTGTCATTGCTATGTGTGCAAAGCATATCCAAGTAAGGAAAACTTACTTGGATATGCTTTTTCAAGCTTGCTTAATACTGTGCAAACAACCTCAAAATATTGTTCGTATTGTTTATTGTATTTTAATTATTAATCAAAATATTTCTGTTGAAATTTGGAGTTTTTATTCTTGTGGTATCTAAAATGATATCGAGTATCGAATATTTTCCTTAGTATCGGTATCGAGTTGAAAAGTTTAGTATCGTGACAACCCTAGTCACACTGCATTCACACATAAAAACACCACAATAAATAAATACATAAGGAAGCATGTTACATTACATTCACAATAAAACAATTTGGGGAAAAATGTACAAAAAACCTTCTTTAAAAAGTCTGTTATCAGAATCAGAAATACTTTAATAATCCCAGAGGGAAATTACTTTTGTTACACGCTCCAGTTACAGTTTTATATAATTATATCATATTAGATAATGCATAAATAAAAAAGCATGTTTAGTTTACATTTTTAACACCATTGCCTATTCCACGATCTACTGCTTGATACTGTTTATTGCTTTAATGGAAAGCGGAACAAATTAGTTCTTATAGCGGTTCAATCTACAGGCAGGGACTCGACCTGAAGGAAGAAACTGATACTCTGAATAAAGAATATAATTGGGGTCTGAGATGATTTTCTCAAGTAAGTTTGGCCGTCATTTGGACAGTTTTATGTAAATACTACTGTCCTGCACTGCTAACATGAAACAGTCATGAAGGTCTTATATTTTCTATCTAGCTACATAAAGTGCATAAGGTGACTGCATGTTTGCTATGAGTCACAAGCGGTCCTCTAAGATGTCTGCACATTTAAGCTTTGCATAAAGTCACTTCAGTTTTTAAAGTTTTTATAATTAATTGTAAATTTTGTGTTTTGTGATGAAACTGTTGTAAGTCAGTTATAACGGTTACACCACAAGAAGAATTAAAAACAAAAATAAATAATATGAACAGAAAGTCTGAAGTGGTGTACAGTAGAATAAAAGTATAAATTTTTACTGAAAAAGAGTGTATATGGCTATTTTATTCATTTTGATAGGTTGGAAATATATAAATATTTAAGTCTGATCACTATGACAACGTCGACATGAACAACTTCTCAGCGTTACATTTCTCAGATTAAAGCCGGTCAAAAAAGAAGCCAAATAAGCATAAACATTGATCAAGGTTCGGAGCATTGGTGTCGACGGAAGGAAGCAAAGAGGCTCGGAGGGGCAATTGCAGCTTTTTTAGTTAAATATTTGGTTTGGTTAGCATTAGCATTGGCGGACCTGGCAAATGGCTGGCAGACAGTACAGAACATGGGACACTTAGGCCGTTTCTCAATATGTGTACTTGTGCGTTCTCATATGCTTATGTGCGGTTAGCCAGGGCTAACCACAGCGAAGTACTGTGGCTCTGATGGCGATTTTTCTGTTTTATTTGCCAAAATGTTCATTTGATTTGTGTTTATCTGACTGTGATATTTATTATTCCGCTAATAAATGAAAAAAAAAAAAAATTTTATTGAGGTGAAATGTAGCTCCAGACGAGCTGAGAGTGTGGTGAGTGTGGTACTCTTCTCTTCCAATTGACCCATATTTATGCTGCGTGCTCCTGTTCACCCCAAGCTACTTTCCTGTGTTCTTCTCATGAAAAGGACATAGGGACCCCTATTTCATCATTCTGCTTCCTTCTATCTCTATTCTCCTGCTCTGCAGAATCTGTTAGTACAATCTCTAACGTTCTGCTCTCTCTGCTTTTTCTCATAGTAGCTTTGCCTCTTCTTCCTGTTAAAAGGGAGTTTATCCTCTCCACTGTCGC